ATTAGATTTACTCTCAAAGCCCTAGTGATCATCATTCATGACTACAAACCTTACTCTCAACACTTTACTTCTTACTATCATCATACATATCTAGATCACAAGACACACTAGTTACATGCTTCATTCTTAAGCAATTCTAACCATATCTCATCATAAAGGCACAATCTCAATCATTACTAGTCATGATCCATCATATATACATTTTTATAATTCAATTAAGGTTTACATGCTTCTATTCTTGAAAAATTACTGTACATATCATCCATTCTAGTAGATCATCTCTACTTCTTCAATTTCCCTCTTCAAGGCATAAACCCACATTACTTTAATTTCATCAATTAGACTAGGGTTAACCATGGAAAACATGTAATTTCATCTTAATATCGTGATTCACTACTAATTCAATCATAAACAATCAATATTCACTCAATTGGATCAACATCCATCATAACCCACAACATTGAAGAAACCCTAACTTGAATTGAGGAAGTTCTTCATCAGATTGGGGAATTCTATGGGACTCCATGGATGGAAGAATCCATGGATGAATAAGCTAACATACCTTAATTATATAGCCTTATAAAGCTTGTAACAATGGAGTCTCGTTCTTTGACCTAGCTTCAAGCTCTATCTTCTTCTTCAAGTTTTAGAGAAAGAAATATTTGAGAGGAAAGCTTTTAGAGATTTTATTTTGATCTAGGGAAATAGTGACGTAATTTCAGAGGTTAAAGGGTTAAAAATAGTTTATATAGGTGTTCTAAGACTAGGAAAACTGACCCCACTCAATAACCATATAAATTTGAATTTCCCATTTTAGCCCCAACTAGACAGCATGGTGCAAGGCCCCACGACAAGGCTCACAAGCTGTGGTCAAGACCACTAGTCATGGTCCTACTCGTGGTCCATGGACCAGTTGATAAGACTTGATGTCTTGGTCTCCAAGAGGTGAAGGCATGTCCACGACCACTCCCACGAGCCGTCTAGGCCTTCACGGGTCGTGAAGTGGCTCATGTGGAGGGGGCCAACTTGGGCAGCCTTGAGGGGCTCACTTCCTCACCACTATGGGTGGCCCCACGAGCCGTGAAGGCTCCCGTGGTCCAAGAATGTGCCATGGCAAGCTTGGGGTGTTACAGATTGCCTCTGGGCTGCCTCAAACTGGTGGCACTCCCTACTCCTTGCTCATCGAGCCTCCTTAGTGTCGATAGTGTGATCAGAGGGGTGATGGTGCTTCCCTGCCGCACGGGAAGTGTCGGGTGGTGGCATAGTGTCGTCAAAGAGGGCAGTCATCACCACCTCATCCTCCTCAACCGTAGGTGCATCCTCTGGTATAGTCTAAGTAGGGGCTAGAAGAGCATCAACCTCAGCACGGAAACTAGCCAACTCCATCTGGAATGTGGTAATATCAATGGATGGGGCAGGCCTATCCAAAACTCTTAGCTCGAATGCGTCTAGGTGATTGTTGACCACATGTATCTTTGCATCCATTATGCACTCCATCCTAGACTTATACTCCTTTACCGAACACTGCATCCAGGGCCTCTGTGCTGCAGCAAGGTCGCCATCTTGGTCTCCAATTTCTGGACTCGGGCCAGAAGAACTAAAGGGGACCCTGAAGGGGGAGTGGCTCGGGATGAGATAGTAGCCTGACTGGTGGCGGTGGAAGGGGCAGTCTGGGCATTTGTGGTAGTAAGAGGGAGAAAGTATCAGCAACCTCTATCTGCTCTACAAAATTGGCAAGGTCAGCACCAAAAATAGGTAGGTCAACCTGGGGATCTCTCTGTGGTGCAGCAAGGTTAGCATCATCTCTAATCAGACTAGCGTCCATAGTCTTGGTCACCTCCATCAGTCTATCACAATGCCAGATAGGCACCTCAACTGCCCTGCATAGATGAAATATGAGACAGGGAAATGGCAAGGTAGTCGTGGTCTTGAAGGCCCTCTCGTGAATCTCCGCGATTAGAATCTGGACGAAGTCGAGCTCCAGTCCTGCTATCAATGTTGCTAGAATCACAACCCTATCCTATGTAACCACATTTTCAGCCTATGTAGGGGACAATCTATTACACACCACAGCCCAAAAGAACTTTACAATGAAGCTCAAAGTTGCCTTTCGGATAGGAAAAGATGTATTTTGCACCCACTCGGTGCTCTCCCCTTCCTCAGCAATATAATGGGCCATCCAATGGAGAAACGTCTCTCTCTGCTCAACATCCTTCTAAAATGCCCCGCTCTGATCCACGCCCATTCTATAGTCATACTCTGCTGTATTAATTGGCAGAGTATGGGTTGAGCCATAGATAAACCGGCGGATAGTGGTCTATGAGATGTCTACTGAAAAATTCGCACCAAGGTAGCCTGAAGCGAGGGCTGAGCTGATGGCTTAGCCCGTTTATATATAGTATTATGGACTGGCGGTGTATGAGGCATAGAACTCTCGGGTTATCTCCTCATTGAATTTCCCTGGACTCCATGCCATCCACTCACATTAGTGCTTCTTAAATAGCTCCTCAATAGTGGACACAGTGTGAAAGCTACCTGTTAGTATACGATGTTCCTTAGTAATAATGTGGGCCATCTTCTGGTGGTCATTCAACATTCTAGCATCAACATAGATCTGGTGCTGGCCTTCGACACACCACATGTTCGGCTCCGTGGAACTGTTAACTCTCTTAGCTCTGGGTGGGTCCTGGGTATCAGAGGAAGAACCAAAAGTACCGCTAGAATAGGAGTCGGAATGCCACTCAAAGTCGGACTGCGACTCTCCTGTATGTGAAACCCCTCCTCAGACATGGGGGCAGTGACCTCAACCTCGTGTCTGGATGAAATAATCTGCCAGGCCCTGTTTCTTGTGGTCCGAGGGGCAGTAGTCCAGTCTGTGGCAGTATTTGGGACATACTCATTGTCGATGTCTTCATCTTCCAAACGTTGGACGGGGTGACATATTTAGACTTGTCCTCCTCCCTTGAGTGAACGGGAGCTTGTTTCAGTGTCATGATACATGTGGACGACTAGTTAGTACCCAAAGAACACAAAAAGACCCAAGAAACTTTTTTAAAACAACATTCGAACTTAGACAAAAATTAAAAGAAATTCGGGACAGTAGCTATTTTGGTGACCCGCGGTGGGTACCAACGGTCCGTCGATGGAACGACGAGTTGTTGGTCCCCTCTGTAGGTCAGGAAGTCCATGATTGAGTTTCTGATAGACACCCACGGATGTGCAGAATGGTTTGTTGATCAAACGACGGATTGTAGTCAACACTGTGGTTCATGACTTGGCCAATTATTTTGTGTGCAACTGATTTACGGACCCGGATCTACAATTTGTAGGTTGACCTACGGTCCGTAGGTTGAGGTCGTTGATCAATGTTGTGCCAGGCATTAAACTTCAAATTTCATGCAATACAAAACTTCAACAATCAATTTATCAAACTAAGTCTAAACATGCATTTCAACATATTATTCGATAGTTCATCATTCTTAGGGTTTCGAATATGCAAAATTTACAGTTCGACACATAGAAATAACGAAACCCTAAGTCAAAACACTCAGTTAGACCTACCAAACCCATTTATTCAAGTTAAATCGATAACACACTCACACACCATCGCTCCAACGGTAGCAGCTACACTATATGTCTACAATTTCACAAGGAATTAACTACCCGAGGTCAAGTTTGACTTAGTGACTTCAAAATTTAAACAATGAAACAAAATATACAAAGTTTCGGTGAAATCAATTACCTTACAAGTAAACCAAGTCGGTGAGTGTGTATTACAATGGGTTTTTCATTCACTCTAACAAAATCAACACTGAACCCGGACCTTGAATTCTTTAGAAAAGAAAATAGAGACTTTGGGAGAAAATGGCAGATATGAGATTAGGAAATGATAAGAAATGGAAGGCGGGGATTTTATAGATGTAATGGGGAAGTTTAGTGGGTGAAATTGGGGTTATTGATCGGTTTGTAATGGTTCGGGGGAAAGAGGGAAATGGGAAACAGATTTAAAATGAAGGGTTTTATTTAATTGGGGGTCCGGGTCGGGTCATCAGAAACCCTAACATGGACCCACAAAACCTTGTCGACGGTCCGTGGGTCGACCTTTGGTCCATCGATGGGTCCGTGGTCCACTTCAACACTTAGGAAAATTTTAGAAAAAACATACCTGAGGTCTACGGATGCCATCCATGATTAGTGGATTGACGGACGGACCGTCGAGGGGATCCGTAGACCACTGCATCAACTTATTTTCTGCAGATTTTTCCTTTTCATCCCTGCACACGTAGAAAACATTAGAACTTCCTCTTTATACTTTTTGGACACATTTTGGGACACAGACCCTATTCTATCTATATCTAGCCAACACTAAACATAAAAATTAATAAACACCTATCTAAAAAGCTAAAATTCTAAGAAAACGCCTATATCGAAAAGAAACTCCTCTAGTTGGCTAGATTGTACATCTTGGGTTGCCTCCCAAGAAGCACTTGATTTAACTATGCGGCACGATGCAGAAACCTTAGTTACTCAGACTTCACTAAGATCCCAAGCCTCTATTACTTCATTGACACTCTCAGTTTTTCCCAAGTAGAGTTTTATCCTCTATCCGTTCACCTTGAACCTAATTCCTTCCTTGTTCTTGAGCTCAACCGCTCCATGTGGAAATACTTGAATTACTTTGAATGGCCCGATCCACTTTCACTTGAGCTTGCCAGGAAACAAGCACAACCTTGAGTTAAATAAGAGTACCAAATCACCGGCAACGAATTCACACTTATCGATCTTTTGATCATGGTACTTCTTCATCTTCTCCTTATACAAGGCTGAACTTTCATATGCCTTTAGGCGAAACTCATCAAGCTCATTCATGTCATTCAGTCTTTAACTCGATGCGGCGCCCCAATCCAAATTCAACTTCTTTAGCGCCCACATTGCTTTATGCTCTAGCTCTACAAGAAAATGGCAAGATTTCCCATATACAAGTTGGTTGGGAGACATACCTATGGGAGTTTTGAATGTGGTGCAATAAGCCATAGAGCATCATCAAGCCTTTTTGACCAGTCAGTTTTGTTGGCATTTACAGTGTTTGCAACAATTTGCTTTATCTCGCTATTCGACACTTCAACTTGCCCACTTGACTGTGGATGATACAGGGTTGCTACGATGTGGCGAACACCATATTTCTCAAGCAATGCCTTAAACAATTTATTACAAAAGTTAGAACCTCTATCGCTTATAATTGCCTTTGGTGTACCAAATCTACAGAAAATATAATTTTTTAGGAATGCGATGATACTATTTCCCTCATTGTTTGAAAGTGCGACTTCATCCACCCATTTCGATACATAGTCAACTGCAACAAGAATGTATTTCATCCCATTCGAACTAACAAATGGACCCATGAAATCAAGACCCCATACATCAAAAAGCTCAATCACCAATATTGGGTTCATAGGTAGTTCTTGCCTTTTCAAAATTCCTCCTTCACGTTGGCAATGGTCACAAGACTTGGTGAAATCATGAGCATCTTGGTGGATGGTAGGCCAGTAATACCTACACTGCAAAATTTTATGGGCAGTTCAGATACCACTATGGTGCCCACCAATAGGCGATGAATGACACACCTCTATTATACTCATTATCTCAACCTCAGGCACACAACGACGAATAATCTCATCAGCACAAACACGAAACAAGTAAGGCTCATCCCAAAAGAATTTCTCCACGTCAAACATGAATTTGTTTCTTTGGTGGAATGACAAATCTGACAGAACCAAATCACTTGCCAAGTAGTTAGCAAAATCTGTGAACCAAGGGAAAAGATCATAAGAAGCAGCCAATACTTTCTTTTTATCAGGGAACACATCATTAATCTAAATTTCATCCTCTAAATTGATCATAGCTTCCTCCTCTAGTCTGGACAAATGATCAACAACCTGATTTTCTATTCCCTTTCTATCCTTAACCTTAAAATCGAACTCTTGCAACAAAGGTACCCATCTAATCAACCTTGGTTTTGCATCCTTTTTAGCCATCTGATACCTCAATGCGGAATGGTCAGTATGCACTATGACCTTAGTACCAAGAAATTAGGACCTAAATTTCTCGAATGCAAAAACCACAGAAATGAGTTCTTGTTCAGTCACAGAATAATTCTTTTGAGCCAGATTCAGAGCTTTGCTGGCATAGTAAATCGAATGAAGAATCTTCTCTCGCCTTTGTCCTAATACTACCCCAAGCGCCACCCCACTCGCATCACATATCACTTCAAACGGTAGTCTCCAATCCTGTGAAATAATGATAGGTGTTGAAGTTAACTTTTCTTTCAACTCTCCAAATTCTCTCAGACAAGCATCATCAAAATAAAACTTACACTCCTTTTCGAGTAGCTTGCACAATGGGTGTGTAATTTTTGAGAAATCTTTTATGAACCTCCGGTAAAAACCTGCATGCCCAACAAAACTTCAAACACCTTTTATAGAGATGGGTGGTGGAAGCTTTTCTATTACTTGAACTTTGGCTCTATCAACCTCAATACCTTTCTACTAAATTCGATGACCAAGAACTATACCCTCTTTTACCATGAAGTGGCACTTTTACAAATTGAGCAATGGATTGCACTCTTCACACCGTATTAGTACCTTAGCCAAATGTGCCAAACAATCATCAAATGAGGCACCTACCACAGAGAAATCATCCATAAATACCTCTATCGTGTCCCCCTTCATATCTGAAAATATCAACATCATACACTACTGGAAGGTCGCTGGAGCATTACACAACCCGAATGACATCCTTTTGAAGGGGAAAGTCCCATAAGGACAAGTGAATGTGGTTTTCTCTTCGTCTTCTAGAGCTATGGAGATTTGATTGTACCCCGAACACCTATCTAGAAAAAAATACCAACCCTTACCAGCGAGACGATCTAGCATTTGATCCATGAACGACATTGGGAAGTGGTCTTTTTCAGTCCATGCAATTAGCTTGCGGTAGTCCATACACACTCCAACCAGTCACTGACCTCATTGGAACAAGCTTCTCTTTAGCATTAGGAACCAGAGTGATTCCTCCTTTCTTTGGCACACACTAAACTGGACAAATTCCACTACTATCAGTGATGGGATATATAAGTCCCGCATCCAACCACTTAATGATCTCCTTTTACACAACCTCTTGCATAGGGGGATTTAGTCTCCTTTGATACTCAATACTTACCTTACTATCCGGCATGAGTTGGATTTTGTGAGAACAAATATCCGGCGGAATCCCAATAATGTCCGCAATAGTCCATCCAATAGCTCTCTTGTACCACTTTAACACCAATATCACATCCACTATTTGCCCTTCAGTCAAGTCAGCAAAAATTATAACAGGCAAGGTGTTATTTTGTCCCAAGAATACATACCGCAAGTGGGACGGAAGGACCTTAAGTTCCAGTTTTGGAGGCTCATCAACAGACAATTTTGTAGGTGGGTGTCACGATTCTTTATGCCTAATTCCAATCGTTTTGGCTTGAAACGAAACTCGAACCTATCAAGTACAACATCAAGCTCATCATACTCATCAATACCGTCACTGTCAAAATTTATCATCACCGTTGCTAGCACATCAACACCTAACCTTTCCTCAATGGACACCTCAGATTCTTGCCCCGCAATATGATTCACCTCAAACATCGATTTAAGATCACTTTCATGCTTCATAGACCTACAGATGTTAAAAAGTTACCTCCTTAATGTTTAATAAAAAATTTATCTGCCCTCTTTCCATGTCGACCAAGGCACACCTAGTAGCAAAAAATGGTCTCCCTAAGATGATGGGAACCTCAAAATCAACCTCACAATTAAGTATCACAAACTCCGCCGGAAAGATGAATGACTCTACTTTTACAAGGACATTTTGGAGCACTCCAATGGCCCTATACACAGTTCTATCAGCCATAAGTAAACGCATCGCAGTCGTCTTTAGAGCTCCTAAACTCAACCTTTTATAAATGGACAGCGGTATCAAATTAATGTTGGCTCCAAAATCACACAAAGCTTTCACAAAGAGTAAAATCCAAATGGTACAAGAAATAGTGAAAGCTCCAGGATCCCTTTTCTTTCGCTCAAGTGACCTAGTAGCAATAACACTGCAATGTTGCACCCTTTCATCATTCTTAAAATTGATAGCCCTCTTTTTTGTCACCAAGCCTTTCATGAATTTCGCATACCCATGCATTTGTTCCAAAGCTTCAATCAACAGAACATTTATGGACAGTTGTTTCAACATAGTGATAAACCTGCGATATTTTCCTTCTTCAGTCATTTTCACCAACCTTTGTCGAATCGGAGGTGGAGGTCTAGGCATGGGAACAAATTTTTGGGTCACTTTAGCTTCCTTCTCTATATCAACTTTCATATCTTTAGTAACCTCAATATCATCCACATATTTTTCTATCACTCTTTCAACCTCAGACGTCATATGGGGATCAATGGTCTGCTTTCCTTCGTGAGTAGTGACTGTCATACAATGCCCATCATTTTTCAGATTTTTTATGTTGTTGCTAGGAAGTGTGCCAGGCTGGCATGGATTCGCAGTAGTGGACAACTGACTAAACTGCTGCTCGAGTTGCTTTTGGACACTGCATGGGCATTTACCTTCTGACCAATCCTAGATAAATCATTATGCATCTCTTTCACATTTTCATATGTCACCTCAAATCTCTTCATCATCTTTTGCATCATATCCTCAATGCAAGCCATACTATTACTATCCTCTCTATTGCTAGGGGGAACGTAGGGCCCAACCTTATAATATTTGTTGCCATAGTTTTTTCGGTTGTAATTCTTATCACGATTGTAGTTCCCACCCCGGACATAGTTTCCCTCACAATTGTAGTTTCCATAGTTCCAACCTTGGTTTCCTTGACTTTCGCGCCAATTATCCAAGTTGGAACCTTGGGAGTTAGTTTGGAAACCCCCCGTGTGATCATTAGCCAAATTCGCATCCTTCTCATAGTAATACTCCTTAACGGGCGGTGGTGGAGTTCTAGTTAGATAATTTACGGCATTTGTTTTTTCTGCACCCCACTCACATGTAGTACTAAGCCTAATTCTGTCCTCATTTGAGCCATCTCTTCACGAATGTCATCATTAGATTGATTTGGTGCAGTTTGGACAGTGAACGTGCTCCTACCAGTATTTGCCTTTCTAGTGCTCTATGCTTTATTGTTTTTGGGAAATCCTCTCAAGTTTTTCAGCGATCTCCTCGAAAGTGCACTCACCATATGATCCTCCAACAATAGTATCTAACACAGCTCAGCCATTGTCATCATGTCCTTTATATAAGTACTCTTTCAATGACGCATCATCTATGCGGTGATTTGAAACACTTCTCATGAACCCTATGAACCGATCCCAAGAACTGCTTATCGACTCTCCAGGTAATGCTGTGAAGTTATTTAGTTTATCCTTATGATTTAATTTCTTGGACACTGGAAAATACCTTGCTATGAACACCTTATGTAATTGGTCCCACGTATAGATCGAACTATATGGCAGCTTATAAAACCATACATCAGCATCATCGGTCAACGACAGTGGGAATACTGTCAAACCTATGACATCCATATCCAACTCCGGTCGTCCTACACAACTCTTACAGACACTAGACAATTTAGCCATGTGAGTGTATGAATCTTCTGAAGCCAACCCAACAAACAATCATATCGCTATAAGCATCCGTATAAGATTGCTGCTCACCACAAATGTATGTCTTGGAGGTAGATGAGGGAGAATAATAGGCCCATCTGATCCAACTGCATCATATTCAACCCTATAGTTATCACGAAACCTCGGTGCTGCCGAATTCTGCACCATTTCTGCATTTTCAATTAGATGACCACATTTACCCTGAGCGGGTACATTCACAACTGCAGAAGGTAGAAAATCAACTCCATCTCCTTGACCCTCTACAATTGGATTATTATGTACCCATTGATTAGCCATTTTCCTTAAAAAAAATTCTCAATTCAGGATCGTAGGGGGTCATGGGTTCACCTTGACTTTGTGTACTTGGCATACACGAGAGTTTAAACCTGTAGAAAATTAAAAAAAAAAACAAACATGTAAACTTGGGAAATTCTTGACTAAAGTTCAACAGTGTAGTTAGTTTAATCTAAAAGACGTATTCCTCGACAGCGGTGCCAAAATTTGATACTCCCAAATTACACCTCCCTAAAGAAGTATAAGCGGTCGTTGCCAAATAAAAAACCCAACTTGTAGGTTGAGGTCGATCCCACGAGGAATATGGTTCAGACTTAAACTTACTCACAATGATCTCCATTTAGTCAAACTATTTCTGAGAAAACTAAACAGGGGATGTTGTAAATGAGTAACAAATTGTTGATTCGAATGATTAAGCAACAAGTAAACAAGGTTTACAATTTGAGTTATTAATATAAGAAGGAAACTAGGGTATATGTGTTTCGCACAAGCTCTTAACGCAGTAATCCTAATAATAGCAATCATATCCTAGTGTTTTACATGCAAGGCCGATAAGTTATGTATCCCTACGTCATTGGTAATCTTAATAGGAACTTTCACTCGGGACTTGGTAATTCTACGAATGTGTGCTTTACTAATCCTTACCTTCACCCCAGATTAATCATCGTAGTAATTTATTTGGGTTTTCACCCTTACTTCGATTGATTAAAGTCAGACTATTAGATAGCAGCAAATCCTTAACTAAATCTCTGTTCTTTAATCCTTTTCTCATTCATTACCCCCCTATTAAGGCAAGTAGGAACGAGGCGAGTTATAATGTTGGCCACCTTTAAAAAGACTTCTAAACAAAAGGATTAACAATACATACATAAATACTATTCACAAATTACCTAGTTTTTATTCATACGTTGTTAATTGCTCATGGTTCCTACAACCCTAGTTGTGGATTTAGCTACTCATGCTTGAGAGTTCACAATTCATAATTAGGTGAAAAGAAATAATGAACTTAAAATTAGAATAGATGACAACCGAAATCTTGAATTGAAATTCAAAGTGAAATTTGCATAAACCAACTCTCGAAATTAAATTGCTAAGTGTTTGCAAAATAATTCCAAAAGAGAAAAACTAAAAGTCTACAATAATGTCTAACTCTTAAAAATGGAAATTACAACTAATATTTATAGAAAACGAATCCCAAACCAAGTAGGAAACAAAATAAGGAAATAACTACTCAGACGCGGTTTCAATCGATGACTCGACCTACGGACAGTGGGTCAACGTACAAACTGTGGTCTTCCTCTGTGGATCAATACTTGGGCAATATTTCAGGGCCTTTAGATGAGGTTCCACCTACGGTCCGTGGATTGGACTACGGTCCGTCCTGTCACTACGTGGTTTGAGTACTGAAAATCAGCTTTCTGACCAGGACCTACGATCATCCACCTTCGGCCCATCAATGGACCTACGGTCTGTGGTTGGCCTTGTCAGTGGCTTCTTGTGCACTTTTCAGCTCTTATGTCAATCAAACCGCATCCAAGCCTATTTTCTGCAAGAATTACACAAAAACATTATTCCTAATAATAAACTAGCCCAAGACACACACAAACTCTAAGTGAAATGCATCAAAAATACCGTAAACTCACAACATATTAAACATCGGGTAGATCATTGGGAAAAACTTATGGAAACTCATTACAATGGGGACTGACTGAAGAGTACGGGTTTCATAATTCATATCCATAACCCTAACAAGATGATATATGCAACCCTTAGAAATAATTTTCTTATCTTTAAGGCAAGAAACAAACTGACCTGTAAGCATAAAGTTTCCCCATTTCCACTCTAGAACGGGCTCATTAGGAAATTGAAACTTGACCACTCAGGTTTTACAATCAACAAAAGCATAACAATAATGGAGCCAATCCATACCAAGAATAATATCAAAGTCTAACATATCAAGCTCTACAAGATCTACATGAATGACTCTATGGGATAAGGAGATGGGACAACTTCTATAGACTCTCTTAGCCACAATAGATTCACCAATAGGCATAGAGATAGAAAACGGATCTAACAACATATCTGGAGAAACATCAAACCTCATAGCCACATATGGCATCACAAAAGACAAGTTAGCACCGGGATCAAGCAAAGCATAAATATCAAGATGAAAGACTTTCAACATACTGGTAACAACATTGGGAAAATGCTCTCGATCATGACAAGTTTGAAGTGCATAGAATCAGTTTTGCTTCGGAGCACTTGAACCTGAACCAGTGGCGGAGCTTTCCTACCATCCTTTCAATACGGACAATCTCTCAAACGGTGACAACTCTTTCCACAATCAAAAAAATTCTCTGTGCCCATCAAGTATTTTCCCGAATGACTTTTGCCATAATTTTGGCATGTAGGAATCAAAGATCCATTTCCACCACTATTTCCTCCTTGAGGCTTAGGGTTATACACCTTTTATTTGTTGAACTTAGGATCCAGAGAATTGGAGGAACCTTGATCGAAAAAACTTTGTGAGAACCTAGAGCGACCATGTTCATCGGATCTTGAATGTGAAAAGTCACCATCACTATTCTTGGCCCTCGTTGACTCCCTAGACCTTTCCTTAAGCTTCTCCTCTTCAATTTGTTGAGAATGAATCATTAGATGAGAAATATGTATATTTCCTTGATGAGCATGGTGGTACGACATTCCTTAGCCACTATCTCAGACACTCCCGAAACAAACTTGCTCATCTTTGCTCTAGGATCAGCAACCACAGTAGGAGCATATCTAGACAAATGCATGAACTTAAAGGCATACTCCTTCAATATCATATTTCCTTGATGAAGGTTGATGAATTCAAGTACCTTTGCCTCTCTCATTTCAAGGGGAAAGAACCTATAAAGGAAAACAACCTTAAGCTTATCCCAATTGAGAGGACCTACATCAACCGCATTAGTCACTTGTTTGGTCAAAGGGTCGCTAGAACTTGAGGAGCTTCTCGCTCCACATTCTCATTATTATTCCTACTAACAAATTATCTTCAAGAGGCCATATCCTGAAAAGGATAAGATAAATATTGGGAGAGAGACCTATGGAGTTACACTCTATTGCATGACTTTAGAATGGTGAAAGAAGTGGAATTTCCTAAACATCTTATAGCCTCCTATTCATAAATGTGGCGCGCTTCACACTTATGAACAAGATTTTACTCGACGTGACTTATGAGACATCATAGTATCTTTCTAAGCCTTGTCTCTGAATACCAAGTTTCTCATGACCCCAAATTAAATCCTAGGCATAACATAGCGTCTAGGACCCCGAGAGGTCCTACACAAGCCACTTAGAATACATCATATAGGACAATAGAAGTAAAGACTTTAAAAGATAGTATTTTAGACATCAAAAGAGTTTGACAAAGAGGAAGTCTAACAAAAGTCTCAAAGTCATCTAATACATCATAAGGAAAGTGATTCGGATGTAACCCATAGATCACATACAAAGTCTAAAAATGAAATGACTAAAATTTATAAAGTGTCTTGGTCCTCAGAATATGAGGATTCACCACCTGGTATATGTCTATACATGAGTGTGCGAGGTAGGAATTTCAGACCCTACATTCATGAAATAATGTAGGCATAAGTATGCATTAGTACATGGAGTCGTCTAAGTCCAAAGCAATATGCATAAACATGGAAATAATAGTATAAATGGTTTAAAGCATGTAGGAATGATCAATGCATTGACATTTTAACATAAGAAAGTACGACATGAAAATCATAGGATATAGTCAATGCATTTGTAATAAAGGAAATAGGAAAAGTTTTGAAGAAAACATAGTCATTTTATGAGATTTTAGCTTTAATCGATAATAAGACCATGAGAGCTATATCATGGAATTCAGTATAGCCCCCGCACCGAAAAAAGGGGAAACTAATTACAACGGTAGAATCCTACATATCATCATTTTCTTAAGTGAATCTCCTATCTAGGTACCTGAAAGCCTTCTCGATTTTAAGTCTAAATTCCAACAGAATAGACAAAAGTCAAATGTCAATTTAACATGGGAAATACAATGAACACTACCAATCCACATCTTTCAAGATCAAAACATAAAATAGCACCTTAAACATAATTCAACATAGATGAGAAAACCTTTCATCAATATGAATTCATATGTGAGGAAAACCTTTCACAATCATGATCATAATAACATGTGAAAAAACCTTTCACAATAGCATTGATACTATCCTTTTGAAGCATCGTTAAATCATTTATAATAACTTTATAAAAATATGCATATCTTCATAATTTCATAATTCATAGGTTCATGAGTTTATCATAGGTTCATAATTCCAAACATCATGAATTAACATGCAATCATACATTATAAGGCTTAATCAACAATAATAAATCATAATTAAATGAAACCCATGAAATTGAATTGAAATCTTAACTTCAATCAATTGAAATTGGAGAGAGAAATCAGAAACCTTGGAGACCCCATAGAGGAAAGGACTCCATAGGTGAATACCCACATACCTTGATGCTTAAAGACCAAAAATGATGGAGGATTAAAGACTTGAATGAAACTCTAGCTCTTCTTCTTCTTCCTTAGGTTGATAGAATTTGGGGAGGATGGGTTTGGTAAGGTTAGGGTAATTTAGGAGAATGAATTGAAAATA